TGACCATAGCCAGCTGTTAAATTACACTAATTATTGGCTGGTTGCTATATATTTTTTTCAACAATGCCCTGGAAAATAAATTGCTCCCCAAACTGATCCAATCAAATTCAGGCTTTGAAGGTCAGTATTTGAGGTATGTTCTGACTCTGAGAGAGCTCCTCCCAGCTGTCTCTTTCACCATCTCTCTCCAGCAAACTAGTCAGCCCAGGTTAGCCTATATCACCAATGTAGCTATCATTTGTCTTTCATCACAACCTCCAGTTTTTGAGAGCACTCTTAAGCTTGAAATTCTTTTGCAAATTCAGTCAGTTCATTTGAGGAGACAGTCAAAGCTCTCTGTTCTATAGCCTAACTCTCCCTAAGTCAAAATCTCTGAGCCATGGCTCTGGCCTCTGGTGTTGGAGGTGGGAATAATGGCACACTGCTGAGTGATGTACCCACCTCAAAAACTGAATACTTTTTTCTTTCTTAACTCCTATTTGTTCCTTCAGAGCCAGCTCGAGCTGTTTGTTGCCCTTCCGCTGTGTTTTGTATTCGATAATGGTCTTGGGATACCTTTACTAATATAATAACAGCATGAACTAATATCCTGTCTTAACTGTTTGTGTTAGCTGCCTTTCCCCAACTGCAATCCTCTTGAGGGCAGGAACAATTTCTCATCCCACACACAGTGCCTGGCTCAGGGCAGGTACTCTAAATGCACTGAATTTTAAAGATGAGCTTCATAAGAGGAAGAGTGCAGAGACAGGAGGCTAGGAGATAAAGACTATCATTCTAATTTCCAAAACATATGAGCAGGAAGGTAAGAAATGCTCCCCCCGCATCTGCCATCAAAACTGATGCCTCGTTCTCTGAGGCAGCCAACTCCCAACTAGTTCTTTTCAGAGTCAAACTGATGATTTCATACTTTTCCTTATTAAACCACCCTCCCTCACCATCTGATGGAAAAAAATTAAAACAGGACTCAATATTGTCCCTGCAGAGGAAGCCTTTATTGTAACATAAAATACACAATTTTGTGATTGCCCCAGGTAAAATTATACACAATACCTTTTTTCGGTGGCTAAATAGTAATCTGACTCAACACTAAAATATGTATCTGAAATAATTTCACAAAGTTTTAAAAAGAAAAATTATAAAAAGTAAAGTTCCATTTTAAGTTATATTCGCTTTTTCTCCCCCCCACCCCCTACAAAACCCTGCACGTAGCACACATGGAGTTGGAACACTTTGATGACTTCTGTGTGTGTGTCTGGGAGCGACTGAGAGGCTGAGGCAGTCAAGTCTTCCCATTGCCTCTTCTAGTTTGCAGGAACAGGGAGACAGGAAGTATAATGCAGATAATGATCGCACTTTTCAGTCAAAAATGTCTCCCCACCATAGGCACAGCCTCAGGAAAATTGAAGACAGGTCAGCAACTGTACAAGCATGGGAACCCCACGCTCAGCACTTGGCCTCCAAACCCCAATGCCAACTGTAAAGTGAGAGCTCTGCCTACAGCATGCCCTAGGGCTGGGTCCACTGCCAATATGAAAGTGTGTCTATCCCTGTTCCCCTCACTATCAGGGCTACTGGGACAGCAAGAAGCACATGATGACGAAGCCTGAGTGATGGGCAGATGAGGGCTCTTTAAGACGGGGCCCGAGAGCAGTCAGGCTTCCTTTTCACCTTCCCCAACACTCCCATATCACAGGTGGAATTTTAATCAAATCTTGAGGGGTACGTAGGGGCTTAGTAGCATCCTATGTCAATGCTGGTATCAATGGAGGGGTCAAACCTGCTCCTCAGAGGCAGAGAGAGAGAGATTCTACTGCCTGGCATAGAAAAATAAATCAGTGTATGAAACCAAGCCAGGGCAAACAGCAGCTTTTAAAAGTCATCTTCCAATAAATAATTACTACAGAGAAATATTTTCCTTTAACATCAAAACACTGATAAGTTCAGAAGTTATTTTTGTAAAAAAAAAAATATCTGTTTATTTACTCACATGTATAAAAATAAGGTTTTTAGAGCCATTCTCTCCTGGGCGTGGTCATGTCCTTCTTTTAGAGAGGGGGCCGGGGGTGACCTTGTAGGCTTAACCCGAAAGCTCTACCTGCTCCCGCCTCTTCCCACTTGCCTACCATAGCCCATTCCTTCTTTCTGGTGTAAAACTACAGAAGAAATGTGGGCAAAATTATGCTGAGGCTTTTTGTTTTGTTTTGTTTTCGCAGCTTACCAAACTTTCAGCAAACCTGCTGACTGCATTCCCCCAAACTACCAAGGCCTGACACCCAGCACCTAGTACCAGGTGGGCAATGACACCCACTGACCGTGCTGGCCCTGGGTTTGGACCATGCTCTTGCCACCCACACTCCAAGACATTGTGTGTGAACAGTGAAGGGAAATGAGGTGACCTGACACAGCAAGAAAGAATTTTGATGTCAGATTAGGGTAGAAAGGGGAAAACAAAAAGTCTCAATTTAGAAACAAAAACACCATTCAACATTTGCAAAAAGCCATTATCGATGAGCTTTCAGAAAGCCTCGCTCAGGGCAGAGGAAGGATGGGCGGACTAGTAGTGCACCCTCCTTGGGTGACAAGGCAACACTCAGCACCTTCGAGTCAGGGATGGGCATTCCACTCTGGCTGCCAACACGAAGGACATCAACACTGTCAGCTTCAGTTATGTGACCCTCTCTTCTTCCCTCTAGTCCATCAAACGTGTCTGCACATGTGCACACACAGAGGAACTGAGTGGCAGTCCCATAGAGTGAGAGGAGGGAGGGAGGCAGGCAGGGAGGGAAGCGGGGGAGAACATTAAGATGGGTTAAGCATTATTTAAAAAGCCACTACCCATCCCCAAACCCCTGACTCCCTTGCCCCAACAACCCTCATATGTTGGCCCTTTTCCTATCACTATCCAGGAAAACGGCGGTGAGGGGGAGTGGGGAGGGAGGACTGGCTTGCTTTGTCAAAAGGCAGTTTCTACGTTTCAGAAGAAAAGCAGAGACAATCATGGTTATATAACAATTGCTTGGCAGACACAGTGACAAAGACTCAACAGAGAGGAGGTGCTTTCTCCTCCCTTTGTCCTTCTCTTAAGTGAACATGTCAAGTTCAGCTACCCTCAAGACACGTGGCCAAATTCCAGGGTTCATGGAAATAACTGCCTTTTTGTACAAGGTTAAAACAACCACAGCATCTGTTTGCGGCCCCAATGCTATAGCTAAACTCTGGACAGCAAGGGGGAGAAACACCACAACGTACAAACTCACATACACACGCACGCGCGCACGCGCACACACACACTCCCTTCACTGGTGTCACCATGCATAGAAACACTAAAGTCACAACTAGTATTAACACTTCACATTATGAGTATTGTTTCCAAAGAGAAGCGATTCATGGAATTAAAACATCCACAAGAGTAACTCCTCTAGCGAGGACGAAGACGCTGAAGATGGAGATGAGAGGTCACGACTGTGCGTGCGGGATCCACTGAGTGTCCATCGGTCGGCCTAAGAGTTCCTCCACACGGCGCGCCACATCCATCGTGTCGTCCAGATCAAAGTCTCCGTCAGTGTCAAGGACGGGGTCAGGACTTGGGATGGAAAGAGGAGATGAAGAGAAAGGGAAAGGCTGTCAGAGGCCAGTGAGGAGCAGCAGAGATTACCACAAACCCGCAACCCACCAAGTGAGCTGCCCAAGACCACATGTACCCTCGGCTTCCTGGGAAAAGAACCACTTCTGATCTGAACACTGGAAGTAGAGTCCTTTGCTAGCCGGACAGAAAGGCTCAGACTACAAATACCCACCTTCCCAGCTGCCTCTAATGCTGGCTGTCCAGACAGATCTAAACTCCATCTGGTCCTTATACAGAGCAAGAAAAATCTCCATTTTGGGAGCAGATGACACTTGCCCCACCCCACTCTAAACTACCAATAGTTCTGGTTCAATCTCTTCCACCTGGGCACGTGCTGGAGCCAGGCCTGGCTGGGTGGTCTCAGACCTACAAAAGCTCTGGATTCCTTTGCCCACCAGCCTTCCAGGGTCCGGCCTGACGCCAAGTGCCCAGTTCCTCCCCACGGAGCCCCACGAGAACACAACTTACTTCTGCGGGTACATGTTATAATGAGCCTGGGGGCACACGACTGGAGAGGGGGCCTGGTCCATGTAGGTGGCACTGCCCCCTGCAGAGTCTGCAGATGTCACAAACCTGTGGGAGGAAGCAGAGCAGAGCCTCAGTGGCCTTGGGGCAGCCGGTGACTTGGGGAGGGGCTTAGGGACATCTTCATGGCTTTTTCAGGTGTAGAAAGACAAACGGCCCACTGGGCCTGGGAGTTCTGGGTACTGGCCCCATGGTGACCAAGCCTAGTTCCCTCCCTGGGGCTGAGCCAGGTTTCAGCGGGAAGGGAACGCCAGGCCCATGAATGGCAGAGGAGGGCAGCAGTGAGGGGTGAAGACAGCCAGGGGAGGAGGAAAGAGGCAACAGGAGACCAGCGCCGGACCCTGGGCACTTACTCAGGGACCACTTGCTTGATCTGTGGCTTCACGTATCCGTCCACTGCTTTAGCTGCCAAGGGGGGAACAGTGATGAGAACCAAAGTTCTCAAATGAAGTAAAAAGGCAACCTCCCTTATGAATCACATATTTTCTTAAGATAGGACACAACCATCTAATGTTATCTTAGAATCTGACACAAGCACTTAACATATCAATCTGTTAGGAAGACCGGGCAGAGGAGAAGCCTCAATACTAGAACTGCAGGTGAACACATCTTCCAAGTTGGCGCGAATGTTTCAATAAATTCTTCAAACCACAGAAAATATACACTTCCATACAAATCAGAATCAAGCATTAATTGCATACTAACTGTAAAAAAATAAATGTCTTTAAAAGTTTAAAGTCGCAGATGCCATAGAGGGACAGGACTTGCTCTGTGTCCTGGGGGACAAAATTAGGACCAACTGGTGAGAAGAGGACAAATTCTCAGTCACATAAGGAAAAATGTTGTCATATTAGAGCTGCCCTCCCCCCACCAATGGGCTGTCTCGGGAAGAACTGGTTTCCTTATCACTGGAGGTTTTCACGTGGAAGACGTACAAACACGTGTCAGGATCACACAGAAAAATCTAAGCATTAGAGAGGGATTAAATTGACTTGATGACCCTGGAAGTTACTCTGAGTTTCTACTCTTTTAGGAAAGGGAATTCAGGTCTCTGCATGCTTCTTCATGGCCCTAGGCGTGCTGCATCTGGGGATAATCTGATGGTCACTGTCCCAATGGAGTGTTGTCTGTGCCCTGTGGCTGCTTAGAAAGAATACTCACCACAGAATCCCACTGGGATGTGGCCGCTAGGGGACAAACCTGAAAGTGATCTGGCCAGCATAGTTACCTTTTTAAACCTTTTTCCCATTTAGGAAAAAAAAAAAAAAAACAAACCCTGCAGCTCACTGCCAGAGTTCATTGAATGTCACGCGTAGAAATGCTACGTTTTCTAGGATTTGACATTTTCAGCACTCGAACTACTAAAAAACAGAATGCTATAAACAGAATGATGTCATTTTTTCCAAAGACTATCGATATATTAGAACGATGCAAAAATAATAATAAAAATGAGATATTTCATGGCAAACTTTGGGGGCTAAGGTTAGGACTAATCTGCACTCGAGTTATCTCAGGGTATACACTGCAGACAGACGCAAGTGCCAACAGTGAGTATTCTGGGGCAACAAACAGGAAATGGGTTAAAAGGCTGATTATGGAAATGGAGTTAAGTAGGTAGTAGGAATGTGATAGTCTGAAGTCAGTGAATGAAGTTTTGTTTCCTGGGAATGTGAGTATCGGCATAAGTATATTCCTAACTAAATTATATGATGAAGAATACTCTAGAGTCAACAGGATGGAACAGCCCAAGGCAGTGAATGCTACGTGGTTCACAAATTGCTTGGTATCCTAACCTGCTTCTTCTAGGGCTTCAAATGTCAGGGGCTACCTTTGCATAGTATCTCATGCTTTTTGTGCTTATGGTCTACAGAGAATTTTACAGATTGTCAAAAAAAGATAAAAACCAAAGAAATGTTATAAAAAATAGAATTTAAAAATCTAGATTAGCTGTACTAACAAAGAGCCGCAGTGATAGGCTTAATCCAAAATACAACATAAATCTAAAAATATTTTGGCTTATTCTCCACCTAGAAATATAACCACCACCTTAGGTTAGGAAGGCATGATATGAAAGACAGACTCTATAAAGGAAAAAGGTTGATAGATTGGGTTATATAGAAATTACAAGTCTCTGCACTTCAGCAAAATGAAACTTAAATGTTAAAAGAACAATGACACACTGAGAAAAATATTTGCTATATATAATAAAAGGTTTATTTACTATGTAAAACTACTTATACATCATTAAGAAAAAAAGGAATTCCAAAAGAAAGATGAGCAAGGAACATGAACGCACTTCATGGAAAAAATACAAACGACCAATAACGTAGAGGTTAACAAACACAGGCTCTGGTGCTAGACTATCTGAGCTCAAACCCTGGTTTGGCCTCCTCCTAGCTTTGTGACCTTTGCCAAATTATTTTACTTCTTTGTGCCTCAGTCCTTCGTATGTAAAATGGGGTAGTAACGGTACCTACTTCACAGGCCTGTTTTGAGAATTAAATGAGATACCATATGAAATATGCTCAGAAGAGTGCCTAGCACACAGTAAGCATTCAACAAATGTTAGTTGCTATTAGCATTCTATTTATTATTATTGTTATTACCATTAGATAAAAAGGTGTTTTGACCTTACCTAGAATCAAAGAAGTGAAAATAAGAACTGAGATATCATTTATATGCTAATCAGACTGGCATGAAACGGATGGACAGAACCTATGACTGGCAGGGGGATGGAGAAGCAGATGCTCCAGCAGACATCTGTGGGAGCGAAAACGGATTCTGCTTTCTGGAGGGCAATTCCGCAAAGATGTGTCAAAATGCTTAAAAAGTATATACTTTTTGACACAAATACTACTTTAGGAATTTATCCTAAGGAAATAATTGAATGAGATGCATATACCAGCTTATCTCTATATTAATCATAACAAAAATCAGTGAATAACTTAAAATTGTAAAGATCTTAAATAACCAGTATGGAATATATCATGGAATCACCATATAATGGAATCCTATGCAATTATTAAAATGACATTGTAATTATATTTACTGACCTATAACTCTGCCTATGGTATATTTTGAAAAAACAAAACAAAACAAATCACAACAGCTGATGTATGATATGACCGGAGCCTTTTACCCTGGACTCCAAGCCTGACATGATTTGGCCCGTCCTATTGCTTTGCCCTTATCTCCTACCACTTTCTTCCTTGCTCATCCAGCTCTAGCCTCCCGGGCCCTTGTGAGAGTTTTCAACCACGCCAGCCTCACTTCCACCACAGGGATTTTGCACTTGTTCTCTCAGCCTAGAATGTTCTCTCTCTAGATCTTTAGATAGAGCTTCCTGGTCTATTCTGATGTCACCTCCTCAGGGAGGGTTTCTAGTGAGATGCTACCCACTATCCTCTTCTCTGTCACTTGTTTGTTTAACTTTGCTTATTTGTCTTCAAAGCATCCATCACTACATTTTTTTAATTTACTTATCTTACTTACATATTTATTTCTTTACTTGTTCATTGTCTTTCTTCTGCTATTAGATTGCAACCTCCATAAAGGAAGTACTTAATAAACATCTGGTGACTGAATGAATGAATAAAGAATACATATCTATACAGACTGGAAAAAATTCACTAAATTATTTACAGTAGTTAATCTCTAGATAAGAGATATTGCATAATGTCTATTTTCTTTTCTATACTTTTTTGGAAATTTTACAATAAATCCATAATACTTTTATGCCCAGAAAACAATAAAACCATTTGTTTTGAAAAACGAAATTTTACCTTCCTAATTTTGTTGGATCTAAACTTGTGTTAAAAGCAATTTGTTCCCTTCGATTTGATATTTGGGGTTAGTGGCAGGTATGTTTTCTGAACGACGGAAGAATATAGCCCAGAATTTCCATCTGCCCTGGAAAATGCTCAAACAGCAGTAACTGAATATGAATTGTGTAGATTTTCATGCCAGATAGACAGGCAGACAGACAGACACATACACACAAAACTAAAACAAAACCCAAATCACAACAAAACCAAATCAGAATGCGAACATTGTTACCAGTGGCAGGCTCGCATGGAACTGGTGTGTAATACTTGGAGTACACTTCATCTTTTGGCCGATCAGGGAACACGTAGATAAGGTAATTCAAGTCCCCCAAGCGGTCCGCCAGGGACCGGATAGAGAAGTCTCTGGTGGTGAAAGGCATCAGATTCCAAAACATTCTTTCCTCTAGATCGATAAACAGAATAATCATATTCTAAACATGATTTCTGAATAGGAAATCTTAATACCCAAATATACTACAATTTAAAGCTCTCCATTAAAATTGTACCAATAAAATCTTCATTTAAAAATAACGACAGGTTACAGATCAAGCAGCTGTTTTTAAAAGCCATGGGTAGATAGCTGGTAATGCACACACCACTTCCCTAGAGATCCAATGATCTCTCTCAGGTAGTTTCAAGTTCAAGTGGTATTCTGTCCCTTTCTAGAAGAAATTTCTTATTGACCCCCGATTCCCTGTAAAAAAGTACATAAGAAAGATAGGAAGCATGTCCATAGCCAGAGGACAGGTGAGCGTTATTAAACGCTATTAAAATCTTTAAATCACAGAAAACAAACTCACAAGTTACTCTTATCTTATTGTGAGAATAAGAGGAAAGATTCTTGGATGGAAATGATCGATGGCAATAGCCTTGTATAGTAAGGATAAAGGAATAATTAATATAGCATATTATTTCTACTCTAAAGGATCCAAATCATCAATGTAATTTTTCTCTGAAATAGCTCGAGGTTGAGTAATAAGAAGGAAAATATTTCAAAAGGGAAGCAACTGAGATTTTGGACAGGACACTGTATTACAGGTAGCCAGATCACAGTTACACATTTGCGTTTCTCAAAATTAGTACTTGTGTTTCCCATGACAAGATTTTAAACAGGCTGCCGTGTTCCCTGCATCTGTGTCATGGTTACACATTTGTGCTTCCCATAATTAGTACTGGCCCCAACGAATAATAAGTACTCAATAAATTGTATGTTATGTTAATTTTGCAACAAAAGCAGCTAACTAGAGCACCTTGGCTGTCTCTTAAGAAAGGAGGAATACTCACGAGAATCAAACTTCCAAGCAATGGTGATGCCGCCAATTTCAGAGTCACTGAATCTCAGTAGGAAGGTCCCATCAGGCTTGTTAATGAGTAGGTCATGGGCCTGTTGCTTATTCACGAAACCCAAAATAGCCCTGCATCACAAAAGCCAAAGGAGCAGAAGCAGAGTATGATTTTTTTAACGACCTTTGTACTCTATCATTGGCTTAAGAGCTGACTTAAGAAACGAGGACTCTCACCCATCATTCCAATGAGGCTTGAGATGTTTTTTTAACACTTCCATCACGCCATCAAACCACTGCCAGAAAGTGTAATTCCGTCCTGGTAAATTCTCCTGGTTGGAGACACAAAAAATGAACATAAGAAGGCAAAAGTAACACGTGGAATATTACCTGTAGACACTTGAACTGGAAAAATCGAAAAGAAAGCAAACATCGACACTGTCAGAATCATACGAATATACAAGCCTTCATCCACTTGCCCAAATAAATGGTCCTGCTACTGAAAAAACACAATAGGAAAAGAAGAAAGCAGGAGGAAATATCACAGAGCAATTACCAACACCCATGGACCCTGCCACAAACACCTTCTCTGGACCTGGGCTGACTGGGCCTTTGCTGTTTTTGATGTGAGGTCTATGACCAGCAGCAGCATCACCCAACAGCTTCTGAGAAATGCAAATTTCAGGCCTCATCTCAGACCTACTGAATCAGAGCCTGCATCTTAACAAGATGCTCAGGGGCGGGTTGTAAATTTGAACTGAATTAAATCGCACTGGGAAGCCCCAGAGATTGCTTCATCACACAGCAGTTAACAATAATTATCAGCAAAATGCAATTATCTGATTCTAGGGGAAGGCACCCCGTAGGAGCCTGACTTTGCATGCCACATCGGGGACATCATAATCAATGGGACAGAGCCATGAAGCTCTGATCACCGCCAAAGCTTTACTTCTCATGAATTACATTAACGTTTGCTTTGTGCTGTCTCCTATATGAAAAGCACTGGCTGCACACAAAGCCCAATTTACTTAAACATGTAATTTTCTACATGAAAAGTACGTGGGTGTCCATCTATTTAGGAGCTTATGACTTTGGGCACATTTCGTTAGAGACAAGAAGCACAGGGCTGGGGCAGGGAGACTCTTGAAGGCATCTGGTTCGGAGGGGCTGATCTCATGGCAGCCGGCCACGGGTCCCTCACCCTGTTGAACTGGGACCAGGACACGGACATGCTGTTGTAGTCCTCCAGGTGGCCGCTGCTGCTGTTGAACAGTTTCTGCGCCAGGAACACCAGGTTCTCCTTGGTCAGGCCCCGGTTGCTCTGCACTTCAGCCTTGAATTTCATGTTGAGCGCATCACACAGCTGCGGCCACAGCACTTTGTCAGGCACGGCAAATGGTACCCTGCCCTGAGAGGGAGAGAGGCCAGAATCTCGTGAGAAAACAGTTGCAGATGTACTCCCTCGACCCGCAAAAGAAAAACGCTGACGGTTGGATGTAGTTACAAATGTTTATCTTACAGAGCCTGAGGATCAGTTCATACTTTCATAGGGTTGTGCAGTTCTAGGAAGCTCAAAAGGTTCATTTTACCTTCTTCACACACACCCTAAAGGGTAACTCTGTGCTGTCTAAGGTGTTCTCTAAATGAGCTGCTGAATGTGTGGTCCAATCCTACATTCTCAAAGCCACAAAAACAGAACATGATCAAGGTCTGGCTCTTCCACTGTACATTGATGGGAACAGAAATCTAAAAGACTGGTTCCCTAGCTAAGTACAGAGAGAGAGAACATGTATGTGTGTGCAAGTGTAATCCTTGCCCTTGACACCTTCTGCCAAGAACTCTGGCTCAAAGTGAAACGATGAATGGTAACTACGAGATGGAAGACAAGGTTAAAATATGAATCTTTAATAAACTGCTCTTCATCCCATTCAGCCACAATACATTTTAATTATTACAAAGAACTTTTTTGACTAGGCAATTCCTTCCAATGATATATAATTTAAAAAGCATAGAAGGTTATACAGTGAAGTCACTTTCCTATCCCTGAGTCCCCTAGCAACTCAGTTCCTCTCCCCAAAAACATGTAATCTAGTTTCTTGTGTATACTTCCAAAGATATTCTATGCAGGCCAGCAAATATATTAATTTTTCATGAAAAAAATGCAAATGGAAGCATAAAATCCATACGTTCTACATCTCCCTTTTTTCACTTAGTACTATAATTGCGAGACCTCACATCAGCACATAAAAATATTCCTCATTTTCTTTTGTGGCTGCTAAATATTCTACAGCATGGAAGAACAATAATATATTTAACCTGATCCCCACAAATGGACATCTATGAATCAGCCTCCAATCTTTAGCTATTACAAACAGTGCTGCAATATACTTATATCATTTGACGCATATGCAAATAAATATATCTGTAAATTCCTACAATTATGTATTTATTTTAAAACAGCAGAGGATGTACATTAGTTATTAACATACTGAAAAAATGTTAAAAATGCTTATTAATTAGACAAGATACTTTAGTAATGACATGTTGCAGAAGATGCCAAAGTTACCGGGGGAGTGAGATCTGTGGACAGGCAGGAAAGGAAATGAGAGATGTGGCAATCCTCCCCAGGAAGCTTATCAGGGACATGATGCAGGCAGATAGTTTTTAAAAGGAGCCTCAAACCCAGGGTTTGCATTACACATCAAGGAGTACAAGCGTGGTAGATTTCTGATACAAATCTCACTTTGGCAGCAAAAATATTGCTCTCTAAAAAAAAATCATTGAGAGTGTATGACTCTTCACAGAAGACACATTGCAGAACATACTTTAATGTCTCAAATAAGAACTATAACCCTTTAATCATGCTTTTACAGACTAATCTCTACAGGAAATAGGCAACACATAGAACGTTGCCTACTGAAGTGTTTTGAAAATACTCATCAAGCAGCACACCAGTGGGATTCAGAGTATCTGAGTGCACAGATTCGCAAAATCATATTTGTCCCTTTAGACAAAGCATCTCATTCTTCATGAGAGCCCTGAGATGAATCACAGACTCTAAACTTTTGAAAAGACATTAAATGTCACCCTCATTTATTGGAAGGAAGATGACAGGAAGCAACTTCTAAGCTAAAATAACCTCCCGAGAGGTCTAACCGCTAGAAAGAACCTAGGAGTCCCAAATTTCACTTATGGGTTCACCCAAGGACTCAAAAATAATGTTTACTGAATACTGACTATGTGACAAGAATTTTGTATGTTATCTAATTTAATCTTCTCAACGATGCTATGGAACATTATCATCGTCATGTGGCAGACACTTAGGGGAAACTTAAGCTCGGGGTAAAGTGAATTTCCCATGGTCAAGGAGTCAGGAAATGGTGGGGCTTGAACTGAGACCGTGGCCTGACTTCAAGGCCATGCTCTTTCCATTTTCCATGTTCTCTCTATTCTGTCTCCAGCGAAGGAAAACAACATTTTTTTTTTTCCTATGCTCTTTTGGGGGATAACACATGAAAGAGATTCACGACACAGTGAGACAAGACAGTGAGACCCACAGGCCCAAGGAATCCACTCACAGGCTCTGCGAAAGCATTGTCCCAGAGAACAGTGGCCGTCGCATTGTTGTCCTGGCTGCCGTGGACAATCACCACCACCGGGAGGGACAGGGTCTAGAAAGACACAGGAGAAGGGCTGAGCACCCACAAGTCGCCCATTCTTCTCCTTCTCTTCTTTTTTGCTATCACGATGCAATCATTCTCCCCTCGAGTTTCAGTAAATGTCACCCTTGGACACAGAATGTGAATGGCTCCAGGAATAATATGACTTTTCCACATTGGCACGATCTTAGAAATTTTTGATATATGAAGAGATTTTATTAGATATTTCTGAAGGATGGAGTACACTCTCAAAGTTACATGGAAAACAAGAGAGAGAAAAGAGAGAATGGAGACATTTCGGGGGGTGGGGCCGGGAAAGCAAGTAACACATGTCTCAAATTTATTACAGCTGTTACTCAGATTCATCCTGAGTGATGTTTCTCCTGATTCATCTTCTACTTATGTCTCCAACTATTTCAGTTTGCTAGTGTTTGTTCCTTCTTAAGAGAATCTAAGAGATCCAGTTCTAAGGATGAGGTCTCCTCCCTTACTGTTTATCAGTAACCAAAAGGAAGACACTATGCGATCAAAACAATTCTTCAGTGATATAAAGTACAGGCATGCTCTCGCTCACACACTCACACACAGTGCTAAGGGAGAGCTTTACCTTGACTTGAAAAACCAGCTCATTTCCACCAACACTAAACTGTGACTCAAACAGGATTGTAAATTTTTCTTCTGTTACCGACTCTGCTCCACGACGGTCAGACCTCTTAATTCGTTTCAGGGACTGCAAAGGAGAAAATTAAGGTGACGAAGCCCTCACGCAGACAGGGAAAATCCATTCTTCCTCTTCTCTCCATGCTCACCATGTTTCTGAAGTGGGCGCTGAGGGTGCCAGTGGCTTGGTGATACTCCATCACACAGCAATTGTTCAAGATCTCTCCACTGTAATCACTGCAAGTCAGAGAGAGACGCAAATCTGAATCCACACATGGTCTCAGCTCACACGGGATAGAAATACAGTCGGGGTAGGAGGAAACAGAGCAGGTTGTTACAAATACATCATTCAGAGGAAATGATAGCTCCACAAAAATATACATGAAATATACAAAAGTTTTCTTAAATGTATTCTTATTAAGTGAAACCAAATCATACTATCTTCACAGAAGAACTCAAAAGGGCTAATAGCGCTCCTACACAGGAATGGCTGGGCCCAGAAGCTTCCTAGAAGGATCACTTCTTCCTGTCATGGGGACTCGAGGAAAGGGGCAGACAGACGTGAGGGGGGCACGCGTACTTGCGCGTGTTCTCGTTCTTGAGCAGGGACTTGGCCTGCTGCTCGCTGATGATGGTGGCTTTCACCTGTGGGGGGTTCATGTGCACGTTCAGCTTCCCGCCCACCAGCAGGCGCACGGTGGCTGCAAACTTGGTCTGGGTCTTCAGGACCTGAGGGGGCTGCTTCTCAATGATGAATGTGCTGTGGGGACACAAGTGACCAGATGCAGCCTCAGGAGACAGGGCTCTGGTCCCTCCTCCATGTGGGGAGGCACCTTGAACGGGGCTCAGCAGGCAAAGAGAGAGCACGTGGCAGACACCCTGTTCCCAGGGAGACCACTGAGATTTGGCGGGGGGATGATGGTGAACGGGGAGGCAGGGAAACGAACTCAGCAGCTGGCGTGGGCTGCAGAGGAAAAGGGCAGCCCATGAGGCAGTGACAAGAGAGACTGGGCAAGGTCAACGCCAAGCAGCCACAGCAACTGGGGACAGAGGGGATGGGGTGTGAGGCAGAGAGAGACGAGGATTCAGCAAAAGCACCCCCTGCCTCCCCCATGCCAACCACATGGGGGGCCGGGCGTGCCCAAGGGCGGCAATCACCTGGTCACCAGGGCTGAGATGATGTCTGTGATGGTGGCGTTGACCTCGGCCAGCATCTCCTCCACTGGGCCGGGGATGGGCAGCTGCTGGCAGAGGTGCTCAGCTCTGCGGATCTGCTGCCGGTTCTGCCAGATGATCTCGGCCAGCTTCTCACACCTGCACATGAGCACCAAGGCCGACAGGAAGGACAGGGTCTTCACCCCATCCCCTGGGAAGAGCCCCCAGGACCCAGCTCCACCGTCACCCAGGAAGCCCTCACCAAGAAGGCTCTACACCTGAGCCACCACTCCCGTCCACTGAGCAGAGCGGAGCTGCCCTGCCATCCAGAAACAGAAACACACCGGAGGAGCGACCCTGATTTGGACTCACCCAGCCCGAGCATCACTCTGCACACCCGCCCTGCCCCCCTCCCCAACACAGGGACTCCCTTCCTGGGGCAGGAGGCATGATTGGGGGCACCAAAGTCTGGATCAGGAACCAGAACCACTAGTGAAATAAGACCTGTCACAGGACAGAGTGAGCCAGCTGCGCGTGGAAACACAGGGGCAGAAGCAGCAGCTGGTAGCACCACCCTGAGCCCCTGCCCGCTCCCCACACCCATTACCAGGACTGCAGCACGTCCAGGCTGCCCTCGGGGGGCCCTCCGTTCCCGGCCAGCTGCTGCCTGCGCTTCCACTGGATCAGTTCGTCATCCAGAATGATGGTCTGCTGCTTGCGCAGCAGCTGCAGCGTCTTCTGGTGCTTCTCGGCCAGCTCCTGCAGGGAGTGGGGAGCAGGCTCTTCTGGGCTCCCAGAGAACGCCCTGCAGGGCCTCACTCAGGAGGCAGGGCTGCCCCTCCCCCTGACCTGCTCTGCCTCACAGGCTCCCACAGGGAAGAGGGGGCTGTGGCCTGCAGCTCTGCTGGGTCCTGCTCTCTTCCTGGCTCTAGCCCTCTCTCGGGTCCCCCGACAGCTTGGGATGTGGACCCTCATACTGAGAACAGAGGGACGTCGGCCCACTCACCACACGGTACTGCTGCAGCGTCTGGGCCTCGCGCTGCAGCCAGGCCTCCAGGGACACCTGCTTCTGCTGGAGGTCTGTCTCCCGGCTCAGACGCTCCTGGGGGTTCAGCTGGGCCAGTTGGGCGAACTGAGCTAGAGGAGGAGACAGGAGACCCACGACCGTGATCTCCCAGCTTCCAGCAGGAGGTCAGAGAAGTCACACTCACCTGTTCTGCAGGCAAGACCCTTAAAGGACACATCTGACTGGTGGCAAGTTGGGGCTCTGGCAGCCCAGAGTGCCAGCAATGAGCGGGCTCCGCTCTCCGGCCTCCCAACTCTGAGCTCCCCTCTAAGAACTGGGGAGATGGAGACTTAGGGGTACAGCTGAGCAGGACCCTACCCTGCAGCCTCCCCTCCCACCCTAGCCCATACAGCTGGCTGCCCAGCTATCCTCAGGCCACATGGTGGTACAGCTTGGGGCCACACTGCCTGTTTGGAAGTACGCCCTGACTGGGTGAACTCGACAAATCGCTTCACTATCCTGTGCCTCAGTTTCCCCATGCGTATAATGGGAGGATCTTGCTCCCTGCCTCAGTGGGCTGCTGTGACAATTAAAAAGTGATGATACGGAAAATGCTCAAAAATCCACCTGGCACATGGAATCTCATCAATGGCAGGAATAGGGAGTCAGTGAGGCCTCATTACACTTTTTTAAAAAAATCAGTTATGACGTCCTTAAGACATAAGGAAGGTGAAAAGAATAATGCAAGGAACACCTGTGTAGCCATAATCCAGCTTCAGAAATAAAACATTTCCATAGTTAAAGCCACCTGTTCACCCTCCCTGGCTTGTAAACTCATCCTTCCCATCAAAGGGAACCACTACCCTAGATGCTGGGATGATTACACACTACCAATAGCCTTTTTGAACGTCCCAGTGTCTTTACCTGGGCTGAGCCAAGAAGATGTGAGTGTCAGCGTGTCTTGGTCAAGTTCCTGGCAGGCCTCTGAAGGCCATGTCACAATGACCCAGGCCCTGCCCCATGGACACACAAGCTGGGACAGACCAAAGCAACTCTAGACAGCCAGGAAAAGCCCAGAACTAGAGACTTCAGAAATACACCTCCAATCTCACTGCAGGGGACAGAGCAGGAAGAGCAATGTCTAGTATGCAACACAGCAGAGAAGTCTGGACAGCCACCTCAGGGATCCTGTCACTCACAGGGAGGTGGCGGTGACTCCAACACCTGGGCCCAGCCTCCCTATGCAAGTGACCCAGTTGGGCCTCTCTTGGCAATTTGCAGAAGCTTCTGGGAAGGATGCCAGGAGACGTGAGGCAATTGTCTGCTCTACTGGAGGGAGCTGAGCCTTCTTGTACACAAACAGATCAATAGCCTGTGTTTCTGATGGGTGAACTCGATCAATGACACTGAACTGAGGTTGCATGATGGGTACAAACCCAAACCAGAATCGAAACCTAAACCTATAAATAGAAAACAAAAAACCCAAGAATAGGATAATCAATAAGATCAACCAGTCCAAGGCTTTGGGTAGAACCAATAGCCTGAATCTCCTGACCCTAACTCAAGAAGTAGGCTCTTCTCTCTGGGGTCAGTCTGGAGTGTAATCAGATGGAAGAAAGATAGGCTAGAATCATCCCACCAACATCTACTCAACCCCTACTATGGTTCGGGCAATGTGTTCGCCTCAGGGTACAGAGATATAAGACACAGTCCCTTCTCAGAGAATTTATATTCTGGTGAGGAAGGCAGAGTTAATAAATGATAATCAATACAGTTGTGAGATCAAGCCCACATGCATGGTATTAGATGAGCACACAGCATATGAACGTTTTTATGGCTGGTTGGTTGAGCAAAGGCTTCACTGAGACTTTGAGCTGGGCAGGCAAACAGGGAGAGGAAACTATGAAGTCACACTGCCAGGTTCCCAGAAGGACAATAGGGGGTGCTGTTGGGGCTCCAGAGCCTCAAGACTGACTCAAGTTCTCTGTACTCAAGTATGAAGCAGGATTTAGACCAGGAAGGGAGCTTTTGTCTACAAGGGCTACTGAGGTGCATTCATGTGCTCTGCCCCTGGATAGCTTCTCTGAATAATCTTAGAGAACAACATGACGAGTTTGTCACCACGAACACAGCCCTTTGCTCTTATACTGGCCCTGCTTAGAGAGTTTAATATTTCAAAAGCAGCCTTTATAAAATGCCTACTATGTACAAAAGCATTGTTTGGTACTGTGTACTTGACTGGAAGCTCCTTCCCACAAGAGGACCAGGAGCTCCCTAGGTATGGGAGGCCTGAGTGACATCCCCATCTCTAAAGGCAAGCACTTGAATTGTCCCCCTCCTAAGTCTCATCCTCCTAGCACTGTCTTCAGTGCAAATGATCCCCTGCTGTTCCAGAGAAAGGTAACTGCTTCTCTTCCTATCGGGTCTGAGCTTCTCTCTAGTCCTCACTCCCGGCCTCACCCTGGATCCTCAGGCTCTCTTGATACTGGATGATGAAGTACTCTTGAGTCTGCTGCAGCTTCTTCAGTTCATTCTCCGTGTCCTGCGTGACCAGTCGCAGCTCCTCAAATGTCTGGTTGATCTGAAGGTGTTTCTGGGACATGGTGTCAGCAAGACTTCCAGATGGAGAGGTGCCCTGGAGACAGACCGGGGGGAGTGTGCAGGCAGCAGTGAGCTGGGCAGGGACAATGGGAGAACACCTCGGGCCTTAATCCCAAGGAGAAGCCAATGCTAGCACCTGGGCTGAAACCCCGAAAGCTAAATTCTGAGTCAGAGGAATTACAAATGTTATTTGTGAGAATTGGTGTCGAGTGGGATAAGAGGAGAAACAGGTGACCTGACAGACTATGGCACCTCCATAAAGCATAGTAGAAACTTCTACTGTAGTTCTGACCTCCGTCACAGTATCCCAAACAGGGTCCATTTAATTCCCTTCGAAGAGACTAGAACTCAATACGTCCCAGGAGTTACCCTGGTTTTCCTACTAGTGACGATGACCCCTCATTCCACATTCTTTCATTGATCTGATGCCATGGACTGTGCTAGGTGCTGGGGACGCAGTGGGGAACAAGGCTTTGTGAACTCATGTCATCTGTGTCCTCACTCAAGACCTTCTTGTGACTGAAGGAAGAGGGAAGATAGGGAACCTCTCATAGGTGGCATCCTGGAGACTCCAAAGCAAAGTTACAGGGGAGGCATCCACGGGCCTTGGATCCAGCCATTTAAGTGACCTGGTCTGATCCATTCCTTCAACACTTGGCTGAGAAGGGGCTAAGCAGAAGTCTTTCTTAAGAAATCTCACCTGAATATAAACATGACTTTACCCCAAAATTATTCAGTTGGGGTAAATTATTTTGCACTTGTTCACATTGTTTTGTGGTTGCAACCTCATCAAGGTTATAAATCAGTTAAGATCAGAGAACAGTCTTCTATTTCTTTTGTGCCCCTTAGGACAATGCTCTGTTTTAGAGACATCAATAGAGGCACACAGAGTTGTTACAAAACTGAGTCCAGAGAGAAGTGGGCAAGTAAGGACTTTCCACTCCGTTCCCGATACCACTTGGGACACTCACATTGTTGGCTTCTCGGACCAGCCTCTGCTCATTGTACAGAATGTGCCGGATGCAGCGGACCAGCTCCATGGGGCAGCGGTCATACGTGTTCTGAAAGAATTTAAGAGCAGATATCATTTTGTCACATTCCATGCTATGGGCCTCACCCCACCTTGGAGGAGACTCCTGGAGACACGATGCTGTGATCATGATGCTGCTCCTCAAATATCAACGAGGACAAGAAAAGCACATCATAGGAAATCCAATTATAGCAAGAAGGTAAGATTATTTTATTTCTTGTATCCTAATTTGCCTAAAGTGCTAGGGTATCATTTTTGGAAACAGGATAAATAAATTTCAAAAAGGCCATATCATCTGGACACCACCTTGATACCCTGAGAAGGACATAACATCACTTATTTAGCATTCTGATGAGATTGTGTAACCTGCATCTAATCATAAAGAAACGTCACACAAACCCCAAATGAGGTACATTTGATCTTTAAAAAGTAGAGGAGCTGAATTATTTTAAAATGTCAACGTAATGAAAGACAAAGAAAGGTTGAGAAACAGTTCCAGATTAAAGGACATTTAAGAGACAGGACAACTAGATGTAATATGTGATCTTGGACTGGATCATGGGGGTAAATGCCCTAAAGCTGCAGCCCCCAAACTTTTTAGCACCAAGGACCGGTGCTCCTATGAGAATCTAATGCCTGGTGATCTGAGGTGGAGCTGAGGCGGTGATGCTAGTGCTGGGGAGCGGCTGCAAATACAGATGAAGCTTCACTCGCTCACCCGCTGCTCACCTCCTGCTGCGCAGCACAGTTCCTAACGGGCGACGGACCGGTACCAGTCCTTGGCCCAGGGGTTGGGGACTTCTGCCATAAAGGGTATTAAGTTAGTTGACAAAATGGAAATATAGACATAAGATTACCTAAATTTAACTACCTCAATGTTAAATTTACTAAATATGATAACTGTACTATAACTATGTAAGAGAAGGTTCATATTCTTAGAAAATGGACACTGAAGAACTTTGGGGCAAAAGGACATGATGTGTGCAACTTACTTTCAAGTGATGAAAATGTGTGTGTGGAGAGAGCATATGATGAAGCAAATGTTAACAACCTGGGCATAAGTAGCGGTTCTTTGTATCGCTCTTACAACTTACGATAAATTTGAAATCATTTTCAAATACAAAGTTAAGAAAGGCTACAACCACGGAACCGAACAATAAGATCTTTATACAAGTAACATGTAACTCAACAACTCTGAGTTGAAGAAGAGAAAGCCAATCTCTACAGGAAGTATTAAATGACAGATGAGTCCCTCCGAGGTAAGTGAATTAAGTGTGACCCAGAGTTCACACCCACCTGGAGCTGCGTGGCATAGTGCCCCAGCTTGATCTTCAGTAAGAACCCATCTTCCCCCACTTGGTGCTCCGCCTTCTTCTGCAGCTCCTGCACCAGGCCCTCCAGGAGTTGGGTGGCCTTAATGTTCTCCTGTGGATTATCAAGATCTATTGAGTCCCTAGGGGAAAAAAATTACATACATATGTATACATACATGCACATGAGCCTGTACAAATGCAGCCTCAACGCATCACATCTTTTCTTTGGCTGATGTGATTTCTGTATAATGCTCACTGCAAATTTTAGCAAACAGTTCCATTCAAATTGACTAGATGTCTACATTAATCTATCCTTAACTCACTAACTACCTCAATAGACTCTAGAGTAGTACTTTTTTTGACCATGTACTGCCCTTTCTCCTTCCTCCTGCCGACTTGCTCTGGTGCTTATGCTATCTGCTTCTTGGAATGGAGGGAAAGGGAAAGTGCTTTGTGTACACTGAAGGAAATAAGGACTCTGATAATTTCCTATTTATAGTTACCCCTTGATGGTGTACAGGCACAAGGACAAGAATATTCTACATGTTTTTTCCAGCCTCAACTACTTCTATGTGTTGCTAATTTCACAGAGTATTTCTTAAGTAGTAACAGGTGAAACATTTATTGCTATTTCTAAAGAGCAATTTGAGGTATTGGAAATGAGATATTAAAACAGAAAATGCCTACAAGATTTAGGACTTGTAGGCAACACTTACTCTTCCAGTGAACTAGAGAAACCATTCTATGGACTTTGTATTAATTCAGAGCCGTTTAACTGGTGACAGGGTTTGAGTGGCCTTCCCTCCCTTTCCTTCCTTCTTTCCTTCCTCCTTCCCTTCCTTCCTTCCTTCCTCCATTCCTTTTCTTCCCCCTTCTCTCCCTCCGCTATTCTCACCGTACCCCCACCGCCCCACACACCTCAACTCTCTCTCTCTTTTTAAACAACTTAGGCAACTATTGCTTTTGGGCAGTACTAAATTACTCAGCTCACTGAAGAAACCAAACAGCTGTCAGATTGAAATAACATTCAATTACTGCTGCCCAGGTCTGGAGTCAAATAAGAGATCTGGTGATAGCTAAAAGACACCAACCCCTGAGGTCAGTTAGCAACTAATTTCAAACAGAAGCACAAACAGGTACACCAAAACACTGATAACAGACTTCATCAAATAATATGCTCAAATCTATACTTGGAGAAGGCAGTTGAGAAAGCCAGATTCTAAATGTGTATGCTCTATGTACTAAATAAAATATATATTAAATAAAGCCTGAAAGGAATGAACTATGGCCCTGTGCTTCTGTTTTGACTGGCAATAATACTCCTCATCTGAGGAATCCGTTCTTGAGAAGATCAAGTCTCTGAGCAAAACTCATGGAAATCAAGTAACGGTTCTTGTACTTAATTCTCTGCTTAAAAACAAATTTTTTTTCTTAGCATAAACATGAGAATTGAAGATTTTTTAAATTAAAATCATTATTTTCTTAAGAAAATCAAAACTAAATAAAATTTCAGACTTATCGGGGTGATCACTTCAAAATGTCTAACCACTATGTTGCACACCCGAAACTAATGTAATATTGTATGTCACTGTAATTGGAAAAAAAAAATTTTTAACTAAATAAAATTTAGATTTCCCTTAATTATCAACACAAGACTTTTAACGTTCATTCAGTAAGAAGACTACATGGAAAACCTACTAAATGAAAACATAAATCAACAGAAACTTCCTACTAACTTTTTTTCTAAGCTCTTCCCAGCATTAAAACAGAAAATGAAAAGGAAATGGAAAAAAGCACTAAGCAAGGTGCAACTGATGCGCTCACATTTAGCTCCTTTTTTTTCCTCAGTTAATTACATGAGACTGAGATTTTTTAATTGCCTAGGAAATTGCCTTCCTTTCGTGCTAACTTCTGGAGAGAAATCTGCTACTAACGCACGATTGTAATTATTCCAAGACAGCGTTACTGACGGATATACAGCCTTCCTCAAACAGTAACATGAAGGCTGTCTCTGATGCGCTCACATTTAGCTCCTTTTTTTTCCTCAGTTAATTACATGAGACTGAGATTTTTTAATTGCCTAGGAAATTGCCTTCCTTTCGTGCTAACTTCTGGAGAGAAATCTGCTACTAACGCACGATTGTAATTATTCCAAGACAGCGTTACTGACGGATATACAGCCTTCCTCAAACAGTAACATGAAGGCTGTCTCCTCCCAGCTCTGCCAAAGAGGACCCCCCCCCCCCCACTCACCAATGAGGGCACGCACAGTGT